TCTCTCTCTCTCTCTCTCTCTCTCTCTCTCTCTCTCTCTCTCTCTCTCTCTTTCTTTCTCTATCTATCTATCTATCTATCTACATTTTCTCTCACTATCTCTGTCCGACACGTGAAAGCGCCACTCTTACAACATTTACTCCCTCTTGCAAATGTGAAAATGGTGAAATGGTTTGAGTTTAACGCCCCTATCAACACTATTGGGTTATTTAAGAGGCTGGACCTCCTAGCTTAACGTCCGTCTCCGATAGGACCGAGCCAAGTGGGAAGTTCGTGTAAAGTGTCTTTCCCAAGGACACGACGTCGGACCAGGCTGAGGCTCGAACCCCCGAACCCGCAATCTCACGATTATCGACGCCACCTGGCAAATGTAAACACAGAAAAAAATAATTTTAACCAAACACCAATGGTACAAACATGACTGAACACCTAAGTTTATAGAATAATCATATAATTTTTCATTCATAATATTCCTTTTCTCATAATGCCATGTGTATATCGTCATCAATAATTGTGCTGTTATAGTACAATTCATTATCACAGAATTACCAAGTTCTATTTGTTCAGTACCTAGTTTTGAGAAACCCGACGTGAAACATTTTTGAGCTTCACAACATATCAAGCTTCTTTCGAATGCAATTCTTCGAATATCTTGATAACGCCTTCGAAAAATCATACGAGTTTGATCGATAGAGCAGGCGGAACATTAATAGGGTTCAGACCTCATGGTCTTAACTCAAAACAGCCTGAAAAAGTCAAAGTAGAACCTTGTAATTATAAAGTAGCGAAGTGTGTGTTCAAGGGCATTTCTGTTTGCGAAAGGGGGTCCTTACGAACGTTTGAAAGCACGCTCAGGCACATGTATTTTGTGTTCAGATGAAGGTTTTTTAAAGCGGCTGCAGTAAGTTGCTATTGTGTACAGGGGTGAGCGCTAAAGAAATGATACCTGCATTGTTAATGAACAAAAGTTCATACCTGAAAAAAGATTTGGAGCATATTATAGGAAGAAGGAAAAAAAAAAGCTTGAAAGGAATTGCCGTTTGTTCAGTGGGTATTATAGTACTCTGCTATCGTGGGGAAGTCGTGGTTCTCGGGTCTCCAAGGGGGTGTTCATGAACTCGTGTTTTTCCAGTTAGTTTTTTTGTGTTAGCTTGTTTATTTGTTTGCTTTTTTCGGAGGGGGGGGTCTTTTTATTTAGGCTTTTTTCTTTCTTTTATTTGGGGGGGAGGTTGAAGACAGTCCTCGCTTTTAGCCTCACCCTATCGGGGATAGACGTGACAGTCAGAAAAGTCTGCTTCTTGGATAACCTTACAATATTG